CTCTGTATTGGCAGACAGTCCTGGGGAGAGACCTCAGGCCCGCAGCTCTGTGTCGTCGACTCTTAGTGTCTTAGAAGCCTCAGGAATCTCAGCAACTAATGATGGCTGTCATGGGTCTGGCGTGAGTCCCCACCCGTTACTAGAGGAGTCTGTGCTCTTGGAGCCTCGGACCTTCCTGTGCGTTGTTATAAAGATGACATAAAAATGTTGATAGAAGGCCAGTGGATAACTGATAAAAACGACAGTGTTTCCAGCAGGGAGGGCAGGGGAATGGGGAAAAAATAAAAACCAAGACACATCACGTAAAGTACAAGATCTCAATGATGAGTGTAACTGTACCATATACCTAAAATGGACCAATAAGCTCATTAAAAATGACATTGTTACTAACAGTGGTATGATAAGTAATAATTCCTCATTATACGTATTCTCATTTGAAGGCATATTCAATCATATATGATGAACAGAAGTAGAAACAGAACACAGGAAATGCACTTCTTTTTCAATTTTGTTGTGTGTGTGTGGGGATGCGCTCCTTTTTTCAGTTCCTCAGGAAACCGGGAGGCTCAAAATATCCACTGGCTGCTTTCGGCCTGCTCCACGCTCTGCTCCTTCCTCCATCTTCTGTCGCAGCCCACTGCCTTCTCCGGAAAGCCTGGGCTCTTCCCGGGCAGCCTGAGACTGGAGGAAGCACAGGTGGGACCCAGTTGCCCTTGAGCAGAGGCCTCCTGAGGGCAGGGGTCGCTGAGCCGTCAGCCTGGGCTGGAGCCCTGGACGCTGCCTTCGCTGTGTTGGCTGCTGGCAGTGGGCCAGTCGGCCGCTGCACAGCCTCTGCCCTGTGCTACTCGCATCCTCTGCGGCCAGTGTGTACCCGAGCTGTCACCTCCACACTGCCTGTTCTGCTGAAGATGGGATGAGGAAAGCCACAGCCACTAGAAGGTTGGCTTCCTTCCCAGAGCCACATGGCACAGGGATTAGGAAACAGTCCCTGCTGCAAGGTCTGCAGGAAGAGCACAGATTTGCTCAGAAAGCTGCAGTGAGGACTGAGCTATTTCTCTCCTCCCTTGCCTGATCTCATCCTGCCCCTTCCCCTTCCTGGGAGCCCGCTGCCATTCTCCCATCACGCTCTGGGCCTTCCTCTCTGCCAAAGAATCCCGGGTGTTGGCGGGTGCAGCTCGGCCTGAGCCCCACAGAGAAGCGCGGCCCGCTGCCCCCGCGGGACAAGAGCACCGCTTTCCCTGCAGGGAACCTGCCCGTTAAACCGGTTCAAGATTCCCTCTCCAGTCTGCTTTCTTCTCTGGACTATTATATGTGTACATAATATGTGATGCTTGAAATGTATACAAATTCACAATGCAGAACAAAGAGCCGCCCAGCGGATGCAGGGGGAGCTCCAGAGGTGCGGAGCCCACTGCACGGTGGCTCCCTCCTCCCGAGTCCAGCCCAGCCCTCCTGGCCAAGCAACAGCATCTGTCCAAGAGAGGAGAGCAAGTTCGCGATGATATTTGGGGACCGCATGGCTGGGGTTAGGAAAGAAACCCTGACCATGGCCAGGGGGACCTGGCACCCTGCGTTGAGACCGACAGTAACAATACCCCGGGTGGAATCAGAGCTTCCCGGACTCCCCAGCATGAATGTATTTAGCATTGGACACCGTGATTGAAGAGATACAATTCAAGAGACGTCGAGCTATGCCTTCATCAGCACAGTCAGTCAGAAGTGGTTCAGTTCCTAGGACTCGTGGAAGAGAGTGATCCCAGCCGGCCTCAGCCGCAGCCCCAGATCGCTGAACTTGCAGAAGCTGATGCGAGAGGAAATGCACCGTCAGCTTGGGCATAGCGTCTCGACTCTGCCATTTATATTTAGTTTCCGGTTATTTTTATTTTATTTTATTTATTGCCCCCCACGGGGCAATACAGACAGTATTGTCGTGTATCTTTTCCACGGTTATCACCAGCAAACTCAAAATTCTAGCCAAAGGACATATTTTATTTCTTTCAAAAATTTAAATATTTTCCCTGAGATTTGTATGGGTTTGTCTCATTGTGTCTTCTTTACTTATTTTGTGTGAAAGCAAAAAAACTTTGAGCATAGGTTAAAACCGTTGAGATGTAAAGTAATTTTAAATAGGACAACTCAATTTAAATATAAAGTAACACCTTAAATATGCTATTGCCTTTTCTGAGTTAGTTCTCATAAAACCTAAACAGTGTGGCTTTAAAAAGTCAGTATATGAAAAGAGTTATACTTCAACATTATGTTTCAAGATTTAAAATTCTCAGATAAGTATTGACTTGATTAAATCTCATATGTTTATAGCCTTAAAATTTAAATATGGAAAAATACAAATATCTGTATACTGGTATCCTTCAAAGCTAAAATTCAACTCTTCTGAGTTGAGAGGAGAGAAATTCTCCTTATCCGCTGACAAGATTACTGAAATGCCCATGGTCCAATATAAAAGAGTCTAGAATGTGTAATCTGAGTCCAAGAGGGTGAAGAATATTTTTGAAACAAATGATTAAAGTTTCCAAATTTGATAAAAGGTACAAATTTATACATCAGAGCAGCTCCATATGACCATTAAGTGACTAAAAATAAGTTATAAGAGAAAATGTTAAAAGCAGAGCAAAAGGGGACATTGTATAGGAAGTAAAAAAATCAAGAATAATTATATAAGACAAAAGATAATCAACAGATGTCATTAAAATGCTAAAAGACAAAAAAAAAAAATAAGCCTAACAGTACTAGGCTGTCACAGTATCCACCAAAAATCAAAGGAAAACAAAGATGCACTCACACAAACCAAATCTGAGAAAATGAATACTACAGGAAACCTTTCTGAAGAAATACAGCATCAGATGAAAATCTGGATGGGACGCACCAGAAAGAGTGCTTCTGATGAGGTGTAAGGTAAAGGCTCAGTATGTTAAATTTTACTGTATTCCTGAAAATGAGAGATAGCAATTTGAAAAGCACACTGTGAATTATATGTATGATACCATTATATTTTACATGATTATGTATTTTGTATTTGTTTTAGCTTTGGTCTGCAATGTCTTACAAAACCCATGTGTCCAGAGGCTGGGAACTTGGAAGGTGATTGGTCACGGGGGCTCTGCACTTATCATTGGATTCATCCACTGAGAACAAGTTAGAAATGGCATGATGGGAACGTGTGCAGGAGGTCTTCTCTAAAATTTGAACTCTTAATCTCTCTCTCTCCCTCTCTCTCTCTCTCTCTCCCTCTCTCTCTCTCTCTCATAACTCAGAGCACTTATATGAATTAATGAACAACTAACAACGTACTACTCTTAAAATACTTAGATATGCAACAGTTCTCCCTGAAGGAAGCCATTCTCTGGCCATTTGTACCCAAAACAATGTAGCAGGAAATGGGAGTGGAGCATGCTTTACAAAATCCGAGGCAGAGGAAGTACCTGGTGTTGTAAGAACTTGTAGAACTTAGTGTGAGACTGGACTTTTATTCTCAATGGGAGGAGAAGCCTTTGGAGGATTTTACCCCATTACTGACTCTATGAATAGCTGTGCTCCTTTCTTCATCTATGTAAAACCCCAGGGCCAACCCCATTCCACGCACACCTTGAACCAGAGACTTGAGGGAGACCACTGAGGCCAGATCTTTCACTTGGCCTCTTTGCTCTGCTGCCTTTTGTTAACATTTGTCTCTCACAAGATTCATGTAGAAGCACAATGCTGCTGATAACATCAGATGTACATCCTTACAGTTCCAAACCCTGCAGGAAAAAAGAGAGAGAGAGAGAGACACTCTTTCCTGGTAAGTGAAACAAAATGGTGGGATTGGCTTCATTTGAGGTGTGTCACTCATGTACTTGGTTTTCTTCAAGTCACAAGGCCACTTCAGAAATCATTCTTGCTGGGTTGATGTAATTCTCCTAGTGTCCAAATCTAGGACAAATTTCAACTATAATTCTGTGGCAGAATCTTCTTCACCCTGTACCATACTGGGTGAAGATATGGGGAAACTCAAGTTCATGATTATAAGAACAGATAGGGAAAAGTGTTGGTAACAAAAGCTTCTAAATATTAGTGAAGCACTGGGGAAAAATAGCTACTTTCTATTCTTGTCCTCTAAGATACAATAAATATAATGTATTTAAAATATTGTAATCACAGACAAATATGTCTTCACTATAGGATAAAATGTTTTCATTTAATGACATCATGGTGGTAATGAATTATGCAGTCAGTATTACTAGTACAATTGCCAAGTGCTATGGAAAATGTTGAACTTATAATATTAAATCATACTAATAAAATAAATGCCAAACTCCAAATTATAAGGCAATTAAAAAAAGCTATGAGAAAGATATTGTGAAGTTGGGAAGAGAAAAAATTTCCCAGGCAACTGATAATATTCATGAATAAATAGCATTGTGTAATAAATATTGTCATAAATGAAATGATGAAAGGGTTATCTACATTAAATTTAAAATGTTTTTATAATAATAGACACCAAGAATTAATGCAAATATCTAATAGCTGACAAAAAGTATGATTGTATCATCAGATATAGATGATGGGTCAATGACGCTAATATGAAAGTATCCATGCATAACAACTAAAAAGATCAATAAGCAAAGACTAGGAACAATTAGCTCATGGAGGAAGAATGGTAGAAACCTTGTGCTACATAAATACATATGGACATATATTTATGTATATGTACAAATTAACTTTGAGTCTCATATGGCCAATCAGAGTACTGGTTGCTTTATCTATATTATGCCAAGTATTTATAATTCAATTCTATGAGCCAGGTGATATTCCTTTATTGAAGAGAAATATGAAGCACAGAGAAAAAAATTTTTATATCCCATGATTACATAGCATAAGTACAAAATAAGAAACACAGGATTTAAAAAATGAAACCCAAGTTGATTCTTTTGAAATCACACATTTTTTTCTTTCTCTCTTTTTTTTTTTTTTTTTTTTGAGACAGGTTTTTGCTATGCCCAGGCTGACCTTGAACTCACTGCAATCCTCCTGTCTCAGCCTCCTGAGTGCTGGGAGCCATAACTGTCAACATCTTGAAGGAGTAAAGTTAGTTGAGTCTTCAAAGATGAGTTAAGAAAAAAGTTAAACAGGCAAACTGATGGGGGAGGACAGGGAAATAAAAACAGGTAATGTGTGCAAGGGCCTCGTTCTCATTTCAGTAATTTCTCTGCCTAACTGTTGGCAAAGCTTCACCTTTATGGTCTTAAGGAGGACAAATCATTTGAGAACCACCAGCCATTAAAGGTACAATTCACCTGCTCAGTGTCTAATATTCTGGTAAAGAATCAGTGGCATGAGCTGGCTGTGGAGGAAAAGCTGAAATTTGGTTTGAGCTTTTACACACACACACACACACACACACACACACACACACACACACTCTCACACTGGAATTGGATTCGGGTAGTTTCCCCGGTGAGGTTCTTGCACTAAAATCAGGAAGATTCTTCTATGGAACATTTTCCCTTTGATCTGTTAGCGGAATCAATCCTTCTTGAACAGGTGCAGGAGACGCAGTTTGTGCCACATGTGGATTTGATTGTAGGATTAGCACAACCTGTGAAACCAATATCAGAGCCATAGGAGAGATGCCAGTGAATCTCCAGGCTTGCCTTGCTGGTCCACTTCATACCATCATTACTAGCACCTAATCTTTCTTCTGTGAATACCATCTCAAGATCAACCTGGTGGACTGCTCAGGCATTCTACATCGTGCCAAGTTGAGGGCGTATGTTCATTGGCATGGGGTGATGATGGCTGTCTCTGTGTCTTAGAGCGGATTGGTCTATCTTGTGCATGAGGTGCCTAATGCTGAGGGTGGCTCGGGTGTCATGGGAGACGCACAGGTCTTCTTCCAAACTAGTCTGCTCATGCTGGTAGTAATGACATCTCAAATCATGGTTTGTTGGTCATACATACAGCATGGTTAAAACCATGGTAGGAATCATGATGAAACTAAAAAAACAATCTGGCCCTTTTCCAAAACATGGTGTCACATGGAATTGGTTGGAATTGGTTGTGAGCAGTGGGGGAATGAGGACCATGCTGAGACTTAGGCACCACGTGCCCCTGCTTTTCTGGATTCAACCAGATTAGTGGGAGCATTCCTTAGCTCAATAACTAGTTGAGGGCAGGGGGAGTCTAGGTTAAATTTGTGAATACAGAAGGCTTTACTCAAAGAAATAAGACCACTGGTGACTTCTGAGAGGCCACACAATCTACGGCCTTAATAATGCAACTCATCGTAAGAGTTAATATCCATCTCTCGCTTTTGTAGGAAGTCGGTAGGAGTGTGTGATGGGCTCCCTAGGAGCCCTAGAGGAAGGACAGATGTTTTAAATGAGCAACATAAAAACAACCTAATTAAGCCATTATTATCTTATTAGTGGCTGTGAGTGTTGTTGGGATTTTACCAGTCAAGGGAGTCGGTGCTCGGAGGACACCCAGCCCTATTCTTCCCAGGGTGCCTTTCTTGCATCTTCCCGCTTCCATTTCCCACTCATTTCTGCTCAGCACCTGGAGGACCTGCTGCAAAGCTGAAGGTTCAGCCATGGAAAGGGAGCACACCTGATAGCAAAGACTCCAGCCTCACATTTCTTCACTCATAGGGTAATAAAGTAAAATCCGGCACCACTGGGGACCCCTCCCTTGTGACGTGCTTATTGGTCTGAGCTCAGAGGGGATGCCTTTTTAGAAGGTAAGAATGGGGGGAAAGCTTTTCTACAGCCATTGTAACAGGCAGGATTCTAAGAAGACTCTCAGTGGCCCACACCCTCGTGACTGCCTCCTGCTGAGTATGGATGGGACCCATGGAAGATAAGGGTCTCTCTACTCCTAATCTCCTGATCAGCTGACTTTCAGGATATCAGAAAGAACAGGGCTCTGGATGAACCTGACCTAGTCTCATCAGCCCTTCAACAGCTTGAAAGAATGAGATATTTGCTGCCCTCAAAGAAGTGCGCTGTCTTGAGCTCTATGCCTGAGAGGGAACGCACTGTGCTGGGTGAGCATGGAGGAGGACCAGAAGCTTCAGACCAGCCTGCAGCCCTGGCTGAGTCACTGAGCACAGCCTTCAGGATCCGGAGCAGGACCTGGCTCCGCTGTGCCCGGAATCCTGGCCCACAGCAGCTGTGGGATTACAAATGTGTGTGGTTGAAGCTGCTAGGTTTGTGAACCTGATAACACAGCGACGGAAAATGACTCACAACCTTTTCAAATGAAGATCAATACTTACCCCAGGAAGGTTACAACAGGTAACTTTGCATCCAAAGGCAGCAAGGGACAAGGCAATGCAGAGTTCCAGCAGACTCAAGATGAGCACAATACCTTCCAGACCCTAAAAATTGATGCATAACAAAGAAACAGAGGAGCTATCAGGTTCCAACATTTACCATTAATCACAATGACTAAAGAAAAGCACTGAAACCCAATTTCTAATTAAAGCCAATTCACTGGCCACTTTTTGACCTATTGAATGTCACTTATTCTGTGTCTTCACATTTACTGTGTTTTCCTCATTTACTACATTCCAGTGTGATTATGGGCACAGCATGTGAAAATGCGTAAAAAAGGTGGTGGTAGGAACAGCCGTATTAACTCCTATCTTAGTTTTTTTCAAGTGCTAGAAACTATACTGATTACAGTATATTACAATTATACTGTTACAATAATTTGATCTCTTATCTTGATGATTATGGGCAAGATAAAGGTCGATTTAAAATGTCCACATTCTACCCTCCAGAAGTTCAGGATATGTCAGATGATATGGGAAAATGGAACTAAGGCTATAGATAGAATTAAGGATGCTTATTAGCCAACATGGGAAGGTTATTCTGGATTCTTCAAGTGAATACAAAGTATTCACAGCATGATTTATACATCAAAGTAGAGGCAACTTAGAGTAACAGTTTAGACTAATGGTTAGCTGTCAGTAACAACTAACTCAAGAGATTATTTGTTATAAATAAAATAACTCTGTTTCTCAATTTCAACTCTTTAAAGTAACTCAGTAACTTCAGAAGGCTGATTGCTGGTTCTGCCACAGCTATCATTTTCCAGGCCTGTTTCTGCCATGAACAGATGAAGAACTCACCATCATGACTACAAAGGTCAGGGAACACATTTCAGGCATGAAAATCCGGTGACACATAGTGTGTTCAAGTGACAAAATATTCAGGCTGATTGCTGTGATGATGACACCTAAGGCTGACAGCACAGAACTGGTGATATTTAATCCTATGCTGCTCTGGATCTGAAAGAGAATGGAAATTCTTTAAACAACATGAAGCCATCTCCCGACATATCTCCGCCCATCACGCTAAACTTTCCACTGCTTTCCCAACATATTCCATCCTCACTATCTCTATTACTTCAACAGTCATTTTGCTAGACATTGGCTTGAAAATTTTGTTTTATATTTGTTTTCTATTATGTAGTAACCTTACTATGAATGTCTTTCATATATTTTTCTTTCTAAAATTTCATATACTTTCCGCAGGTGGTTGAAATGAACATATCATTGAGTCAATAACTATCCAGACGCATCAATATTTGGTACCATTATTGTCATGGGCAGGGGTCTCAAACTTCAAATTTGTTTCACAGAAGCTTTATATTACTTCCTGTCATTAATTTTCTGTCTTCAAAAAGATTCTATCATTAGCTACCTTGCTAATATATTCAGTTTATTATTAGACAATGATATAATACAGTTTTTGAAAGACAGCTTCAACCAGGTAAAACATATTATGATTAAAATGAAACAAAATTAAATCCTTAGCTTGTCTTTTTATTTGCTAATTGTTTCTTTTGCTCTGCAGAAGCTGTTTAGTTTTATGTAGTCCTGCTTATTTACCTTTGCTTTCATTGTCTGAATTTTTGGTGTCAAAAACCTTTTGAGCTACTCTGTGACCCAGCATATACTCAAAGAAAGTGAAAATGTTGCTTCATGCATCATGCATGCCCATGTTCCTTACTGCACTACTCATTATAACAACTGTCAGGAGCTGTGATGATTCCACATCTATCTGGATATACGCTGATACCACAATACGTAGGCACAGATACAATGAATTACTATTCAGACAGGAAGGAGACCTCGCCACCACGAGTGAAGCTGAGTGTACTAAGTGAAATAAGCAAAACCTTCATGTGTAAAAGCCACATAATTTGAAATCGTAGAAACAGAGGGAACATTGGAGATGGAGTCAAAAAGTATAGTTTCAGTTATGTAGGAATTAAATTCCAGACATACAATATGCATCATGGTGACGGTAGTGAGTGATGGATAGTTGAAATTTGCCAATAAAGCAGATTTTAAGTGATTTAACAATAAATAAGTTCATTATGTGAAGACAGTGACACATTACCACGTTTAATAGTCGTGATGATATATCTATGTCTGTCGATTATAAAATATTACAATGAACAATTTAAATGCGTACTTTTTATTTAAAAAGTTTTTAGAACATAAGGTTACATTTCTACCCTGGAAGTGTACATATTTGTTCCATATATCCATGTGGAGTAGGAAAAAAACTAAAGAAAAGAAAGTGAAAATGTCACTCACCATGCCCTTTGTAGTTGTAGCTCCTGCTGCAATTGACAAGGATCCTGAAATAAAGAACTAGGAATAAAAGAAAATGCACATAAACAAGTATATTCCATCAGACCTAAAACTTATCGTACATTAGATGGATACATTAAACAAATTAATTATGTGAAGGAACCTTTTCCCAGAAGTGACAGAGGAATTCTAGCAGATGGATTTCGGGGGAAATTTATCACCTTTCAAAGCACGTCTAATCACAATGCTGTTAAAATTATCCAGAGTACTGAAAAGTAATACTTCCATTTTATATACTCTATTTCTATCTGTAATCTTTAAGAACAGTTTCCTGATGTTTTATCTTGGGGAAAAGATTTTAAAATTCTAACTTTCATTTTAATTGTAGTTATTATCAAACTTAGAAAACAAAACTTGTTAAAGAGTTATTCCAGCTGTTCAGGTGATGGCTACGATTTGATTTGATGGGTTGGACACTGTAAGTGGCTGGTACACCCTGGGGCTCTAGCTCTTCCTTGCCGAATGCTCCTCACTTAGTTCCTCGTAAACTTTAGGGAAGCAGAAGTCCCTCTAAGCAACAGAGGTGGTCTTCAGTGACAAGTCCATCATCCATAACTGGTCTGAGAACGCGCATGTGAAATATTTATGAACACAGGTGTCTGGTCTCATACACTCTGCTAGCACCCCTTCTGGAAGTCCCCGCAGCCTGGGCTGGCCCGCCTGGAAGTGACTGAGCGCAGGGTTCTCACTGGGAGATGCAGGCTGGTTTCAGCCTTTGTGACTTGGGTCCTAGCTGCATGCTGCTGTCGAATGCCCTAATTCATGCCCATGAAACATCTTATCTGCCTAGCATTCTGTGAGTTTTATTTTACTGTTACCATTTTAAGTATGAGAAAACTGAATAAAAGAAGCATTAGATGCCTTTCTCAGACTTACAGACACACAGGATAGTGTCAAGACAAGAATCCACATAAAGGATATTAACAATGATGTTACCTCCAATGACATCAGAACGGATTTCACTCACCATCACTGACCCCCAGATCGGGTAACCCAAGTTGAATAACATTGGGTGTGGATCATAAACTGGCACCATGATGCTCAATATTACAGTTCCCAAGCCGAAGTTCATCACAGCAATCAGAATCTGCACAATCTAGAAATGGTGGAAAATGACAAGTCATTGTCTATGACAAAGGGACACCTCTACCAGCTTCCTTCTGACGATGAAATTATGCTCATCTCAGTTATCCTCATCGGACACAGTCAGATAACCTTCTGCATATCCTGTTGTCCTTGCCTTTCATGTAAAGTATCCCTTGAAAGATGTGTCACCGCCCCAATGATTTCAAAGCTACGAGGAGTCTGTCAACCCCTGCCCAGAGGGATTTTTAAGCCCATTCTGCTACTTCAACTTCATCCATGTCTCTCCTTTGTCACACGCTCAGAGAGGAATCGCCCCGGATTCAGGAAGCATTTATTCAATCAAGGAGTGACAATGCTGAAGAAAAGAGGCTACGCACACAAGAAGTGAACAAGACAAGGGAGGTGTTCATGGGCTGGGGACTGAGAACATGCTGTGACTACAGGGGTCCAAGGTGAGGGGAGTTGCAGTGTCCAGAGGTGTGAAGAAGGATTATATAAAACACACTTGATCTTATCCAAAAAGCCGAGGAGCAATAGGATTTGTATAAAATAAAATGACAACAACTTAGCAAAATTTCAAGATATAGCCAAATCAGTGTGTAGAAGATCCAGTGCACATATTAGGTAAAAAGAAAGATTTAAAAATCAGTCACCTGAGTTTCCACCTTAGGACACTAGAAAAAGAAGAGCAAATTAATTCCAAAGTAAGCAAGGAAAAAAAAAATGTAAGAATTAGATCGAAAGTCAGTGAATTGAAAAGAAAAAATCATTACACAAAATTTATACAACTAAAAACTAAAAATTGTCTTTAAAAGGTAAAATCAGCCGGGCATAGCTGTGCATGCCCATAATCCCAGCACTCAGGAGCCTGAAGCAATAGCATTGCCATGAGTTTGAGGTCAGCCTGGGTACACAGGGAGATTCTGGCTCAAGAAATAATAAAAATATAAATGAAACAATAAGACTCCAGCCAGGCAAATTAGGAAAAGACTATCAAGGACATAATGTCCTGGGTGTGGTGGGGGACTGTAGATCCCATAAGACTTGAACAGATAATGAAGGAATGCTATGAACAGCTCCATTACTCAAAAATCTTCTGAGCTAGGTAAAGTGAATCAGTCACTACTTGAACATACAATATATCAAAATTCAAAAGGTAGTGTATTGTATAATTCCAACTGTCTGAGTTTCTGGAAGAGGGAAATTATGGACACAGAAAAGTATCAGTGGATTCTGGGTTTGTAAAAGTCAGAGAAAGGATGAACAGATGTAACACAAGATTATCAGAAGAGTGGAACTACTTTGTATGATACTGGAATGATGAGTCTGGGTCATTATGCATTTGTCAAAGCCCACAGAGTGATCAATCAAAGAGTAAATCCCACTAAGTATGAGCTTTTGGTAATGCCATGTGTCAGTGAGGTTCACCAGTTGTAGCCAACACAGCACCCAGGTGAGAGAGGTTGATGTGGGAGACGAGAGGCTGGGGGCCGTGGACACATGAGACATGTGCCTCCTTTTTAATTTTGCTATGAAAATAAAACTGCTACAACATAGCCTAAGATACATTTTATTTTTTAAAAATTTTTAATTTTTCTATTTTTGGTACCGGGGATTGAACTTGGGTCCTTGCACTTGCAAGGTAGGCCACCGAACCGCTGAGCTAAATCTCCAGCTTGTTTTTTTTTTTTTTAAGATACATTTTAATATGCTTAAAATCAACCCCAGTGTATGCCAACATATAACCGAGGTCATAAATAACAATTATTTTCAAAATAAAAATTAGGATACTGAAAAATTAAAGGATGCCATTCACCCACAGTGATTTTTCCCTGCTATGGTTTCAAATTCAGGGTAGAGCTAAATTCCAATAGCGATTGTACTTTCTCTTCTCTGATGTATTTTTCATTCGAAATTCTCCTTTTATTTAGCCACAATGACCTAAGAATACAGAGTGAAATACTGAAGGAAAGAAGATACTCTGTCCACTGAGGAGTGGGCTGTGTCCCGAGACACAGGAACAACACAGGCTTCAGAGGGACCCCACCCAGTACACACAGTCTTTTCTGTTCCTGTTTTTTTTTTAAAACCTGAATGACCCACAACCTAAAATAGATCTGAAATCACTGTTTTTTAAATATAACTAAACTGGAAGCACAATGTGGCAGAACATAACATCCTTTCCAAAGACGATTCCTGAGAATAAAACACTGATGGTTTTGCTGGGGGTTGATGTGTGCCAAGGCCAGTGGGTTAGGGAACGTGGATTAAGTGAGAGTTCCCAACACCACTGCCCTCCTCTCAAATCTGCAAATGATTTACCCCCAGGATTTTGGGTTCCCCTTTCAAGAACTTCTCTGCCATCCGTCTCGGTAGAAATGAGTGCAGGGGAGCAGGCTGTTCCAGCTGCCGCACAGCGGGGCTGATGTCTGCTGAGGTGGGCTCCATCCCTTGCGCGGTTACTATGGCAGCAGACTGAGACGCAATTGAGGATGAGATCCTGGAAACGAGAAGAAAGGAGTGAGACACTTTGAGCCCATTTATCCCACGAGGACGGGCCTTGGTCCACATTTCCTTTCTGTGTTACGATAACTGAGCCCAGGAAGTGGAAGACGCAACACGTTAGAGAGAAAGAGAATCCACTCTCTGATCGTCACGGCCCCTTGGCTTCAGTGCCCGCGGGAGTGAAGCCTGCGTACTCAGATTCGCCCAGGCACAGCCGAGCATGATGTTGCTGACGCTTCACTGAGCAGCTGAAGAAATCTTAGGTTTGGACACCTGTGCCCTCACATTAGCAGTGCAACGTGAAAAACCCTGCAGGTTCCAAATTTTCTCTAATCAGGAAAATCATTTGCACTTAGCTGGAAATAATTTTCATCCTGTTTACAACGGATACGTCAAGAGAACAGCACTGTTAGATACCTACCAAAATTGATGTAGGTCAGAAGAGGGAAGGTTAACTTCAGGGAAATATTGAAGAAAAACAAAATAACACATTAATCACCTAAGACATTAATGTTAGTAGCATGTATATTCAAAGGTATGGAAAACTGTATGTAAAAAAGGAAAATGATAGGTCATAAAATAAAAGTAAATGTTTTAAAATCTAGACAAGTATAATAATAAAGAATATACAATGTGAAAGAGTTTGAAGTAGTTAGAAACACAAATCAAATAAAGTAAAAAAAAATTAGTTTTTATTCTCTTTTCACCCAGAAAATTTCCAAAAACAGTTTGGAAAAACAGATATGTGACCACACTTATTTACAAAATTGGAAAATGACGAAAATTCCTGTAAGTCAGAGGAAATGATTGCTAAAAGTGAAGTCTGCATCAGGAAGAATTTATGTGGAATTACAGAGAGTAACCCAGCATACCACGGCCACAGATTTCAGAATACGCTTATCAAACATAAGAGGATTCAGAAGTGTAAAACATAACTTGTTTATAAATCTGTGTGCGGACTCACTAACTGAGTATTTTCCAAACATACTCTGAGAAGTATAGAAAACAGAAATGAACGAGAAATCACTACCCTGAAAACTCAGATTTATTGGAGAAATTCAATTTTGTAATTTATTGGAGGCTGCAAAGAAGGAAGTAGCTTTCCTCAGTAGAAACTCCAGCAGTGCACAGGAAAGATTGGTTTCCTCTTAGCAAGCAAAGGCTGCTATACTGGGTAAACTATTTCTCTTCTCCGGATGTCTTGCATCTCATCTCAGGAAAGAGTGCATGGACACAGCTTCCTCCCAGCTCCTTCCTTGTTTCTACAGCGCTAAGAATCTTCACGGCCGCTTCCATCAGTGGACAAAACAACTTTTGTTCCTGGCTTGGGTGACCCACGCATGATGCTCAAGGTGACTGGAGACTAAGCCAGGCCACGACCTGTCTCAGGATCAGCCTTAGAATGAGGGCCCTGCCTTTACCCTCCTTCATCCCCACCAAATCAGGCTGGGGACAGATTTTTTCTTAACTGTTGGATTAAAAAATAACAAATCAGTGACAGAGATTAAAGTACACGGAAGAAGGAACATACAGAGTATACATGAAACAATGAGTCAAAGTCTGAAATATTGCTTTCTTTTGTTTGCTAGCCTGGGGATTTAGTGGACAAAAGTAACTAAATCAGCTGTGCACAGTGCCAGCTTTGCCTTTGTAAGGCCTCTTCTGACTCCAGCCTTGGCACAAGACTTCCTCAAATATCTCGAGTGTACACTTAGAAGTGCACTCAGATGGAACGGGGAGATGGCCTTATTTCATCTCATTCTATTCTCAAGGGTCCTGGAACCATCCCTGAAAACATAGGGACCCCGAAGCCTAGGAAGGCACAAGGGCACCTTACCTTCCTCTGGCTGCTGGGGTGCTGTGCATGCGGTGAGCCGTGAGGCTCAGGCTCTGGTGCGGAGTCTCTGAGTGCTGTGTTCAGACAGTCGGGGCCTTTTGCTCTGCTTCACTTGCTCGTGATCTGCAGGCTCTTTGCACTTTTTCTCAATCCCGAAGGCTGTGCCAAAATGCCACAAGTTCAGAGGAAAGCAACCAGTTCCTTTTATTTATTTATTTATTTATTATTTCTGATGTTGCGGCAGACCAAACCCTGGCCCCTGTACGTAGTTCCTTTTTTATATTGGCTTTGTGGACTGTTTTGGGGTCGTAAAGTGTGTGTGTTTCAGCAATTGCTGAAAAAGCAGTACCTGGATGTCACAGTGCTCCAAGTGACAATAATAGTGGTTATTACCGTGGCTACGTAGTCTGTGCAGCAGACCCCATGCACTTTTCACAGAATTCTGGTCTTGGATAGTTGTTTCCCAAAGGCCTGTGTGTTTGAGGCTTGGCCTCAGCCTGTGCTGTTCAGGGCAGTGGCCGCACCTTTAGGGCGTGGAGCCCAGTGGCGGGAGCCTAGGTCATTGGGAGTGTGCCCTTAAAAGAGCCTTGGAAACCCCAGCCGTTCCTGATTCTCTGCCTCCCAGCTGCCATGAGGTGAGCAGGTTTTCCAGTCATACTTTGGGACAACAAAGTCCTGCACTGCCACAGCCCAGATGCCAGGGAACCAACCAACAATGGACTGAAAATGAACCGGTGAGCCACTGCGCCTTTCCTCTTTGGAGGTGATTATCCCAGGTATTTTGTTATCATCATGGAGAGCTCACTCAAGTATGCAGAACTGATTTAGTGCCATTTAGAAGCCCTTGGAAAAGTCCATTTTTACCATTTCATATATTTACAGATTACATTCATCTTCCTACATGACTGTGTATTACCGGTTTATGCATAATTTAACTGTGCTACTGACATGAAATTCCATTTTCAGAGATACATCATTAATGCCCTAACGTGGTAACAAATCAATTAACAGTAATTAAGATGCCTTTCTAAGTCAAAGAGACAACCTGGCTGCATATTAAGGTGAACACAAATACAATCATTTGTTGCTTGACCTTGTTATTCTCCTGACCCTAAGTGTCCTCATTGATAAAATGGAAACAATACTTCCCATGGAGAAGAAAAGCAGACTGGTGTTCAGTTTCAGCCATAAAGATCCATCTTGGAGAAATATTCCTACCCAGTGCAGTAAAATGGGGGAAGTGATTGACACAGCCCCCCCCACCGAGTTTATTGACTGCAGGCTAAGAGAGACCAGGAAATATATCATAAAAACCATGGTAACCCTGCTCTGCAAGGTGGAACAGAGCATGAGAAGAGTTCATAGGGAGATCAGCGACCCTCAACCTTGGGAATGCAGAGGCGATGTCCTGGGGGAGGGGCCATCAAAGCCCTGATAAAAAGTGGGTGACATAAATGGAAGGACAGTGAGGGATGGACAGTGTCCCAGACAAGTCAAGAAAATGCGTAAAAACCAAAAACCAAACACACACAAAAAACAAAAGCCCAGGCCCAGGGAGATTTGTTTCTTGAGCCATGCACGACAAGGCTTCCACAAAAGAGAAAGAAGTAGAGAGTAAGAAGCCACATCCCTCAGGATCTTGGCTGTCTTCAGGACTGTCCCAGGGAATCTGAATGCTGTAACAGGATACCGTGGGGCGGGTGCTTAAACAACAGGTGTTAATGTCTAAGAGCCCTGGCGGCTGGGAGCCCAGTACCAGGCTGTCCGCGCACAGGCTCCAGTGCTCCAGCTTTTCCTTTTGGGGAGGGTCATCTGGTAATTGTAGCCTCACACGCTAGAGAGCAGAGAGGAAAGAGGTTTCTTGTGCCTCTCTTTACAACAGCACTGATGTCACCTGTGAGGCCACCAGCCTTATACCCCAATGACCGACGGAAGGTCTCACCTCCTGAGATTATCTCTTAGGAGGCTGGGATTTCAACACAGGAATTCCGGGGGGACAAAACTCATCCACAGCAGAGAGTTTGGAAATTATTCTATGAGCCATAGGAATTTATAAAACATGTTCAACACATAATTGACCAATGTGTACTCTGTCCCAGCTCACATCCCTCAGGTTTATGTTGGGTTTTCATACCCAAGCTGAGATGCCATTTTTATATCTACCTTCCAGAAAATAAAAATGAAACTCAGAAATTATTAGACAGCTAATATACATGAGATTTAAATCCAGTTTTGCAATCTGAATTCTGGAAGGAGGTGAAAGACAATTAAGGTGTGTTATGTACATGTACAGCTTATGGTGAGGAATGTAATCATCATATGTTGTGAACACCTACTAGTAAAAATAAAACCTAAAAACGTTTAAAAACCTAAAAAGAAAGTAAAGGTGTATTTCAGAAATACTGCCCTAGCTGCTATGTGGACAAACAACAGGCATAAATAAACTGAAATCAGAAACACAGACTTGTGGATGGTGCCGCTGATGTTTAGCTAACCCACCCGTGGTACCAATATGGCAGAGGGGATGCAGAGGATTACAAGACGCCCATGAGGTAGAAAGGGCTGTCCGTGCTGACATCTGGGGTAGGCAAGGCGGGGGGAAGGATGAGAAAGCACCATGGAGGTGCACACCTGTAATACCAGTGTTTGAGAGGCTGAGGCAGGAGGGTGGCAGTGAGCTCGAGGAGACCCTGGGCTACACAGCGGTTCAAGGCCAGCCTGAACTACACAGTGAGACCCTGCGTCAAAAAAAGAAAAGGAAAAAAAGAAAGAAATGCGATGCTTGGATTCTGGTTTAGGGAAGTGCACAGGGCTGTGGACAAGCAGGGCAGGGTCAGAAGTGCAGGGACAGACAGTAAAGCTGCAGATGCACAGTGGGAATCGTGCGGGCACCTGCACAGAGGGTCAGCAGCTGAGAGCCGGGCGCCTGGAAAGAGGTCGACAGCAAAACGCAGAGAAGAGGTGAGGAAGGCCGGGGCCACGCGGGCAGAGGGGCCCCCAGGCCCGGTCCGGAGGCAGAAAGGTCGGCAGCTCTGAGAGGAGACACAGCCTGAGTGGGCAGAGGCGGGGCTCCCCAGGTGATCACAAAGGAGAGGCAGGAAGGTGGCCGGACAGGACGACACAGACCTCACGTGAGCCACGGCCGCGCAGGCTGCTGAGTCCACGGCGTGGCCGGCTG